TTTTGTTCGATGACCTTTTGCCATCTCTCTGACAACTTGAAAATTCCACGCTCGTAGAAAGTCTGATCCTTTTCGGCCAAAAACTGAGTTAAGTGAGATTTTACAGCGTCGTCGTCGTTAAAAGTTTTACCACGAAGGGAGTTGTCCAGGGATCGAAATAAGTGGTAATCCGATGGCACGAGATCAGGACTATATGGTGGGTGTAACATCAATTCCCAACCAATATCCATCAATTTTTGCCGAGTGGACAAAGACGTGTGCGGCCTAGCATTGTCCTGCTGGAAAATGACACCTTTACGATCGACCAATTCTGGTCGCTTTTCCTTGACCGCTGCATTCAATTTGTCCAGTTGCTAACATTCACGGATAATAAAAAATAACATAATAATAATAATAATAATAATTTTATAATATAACTTTTACGAATATCATAAAAATGGGAGTGAGAGACATCTATAACTGAAATCGGCAATTACTTAGTTGCCAACCCAATAGTTAAAGAACCGCTTCATTTTCGAGATGCTGCTGTGGCATTGCCCTCTAACCAATATTAACAATATAGCATAACTTTAAATTCATTGATTTCATTTTTTTCAGTCCTGGTTGCATACTACAAGATTTAGATACTCCTTTTCAAAAATCGTAGTCCAATTTCTCGTCGTAAGATCCCAAGCACCTACACTACATCCAAATAAAACCACTATACTGTCCCAAAAATGTGTCTTTCTTCGATATCTCGAAAACTGGTAAAAAACCCGGCAACGAAAATATCGTACACGATTTCTCCCTCTAAAAAATACGAGCGGATTGCGTCGAACTGGCAATACCGTACAACAGTCTACGAATGGATCCAGTCACGAAACCGTCAAAGATCTCGCCAGGCATATCTTCGATAATCTTCGACCGACTTCTCTGGCAGGGTCCTCTCCTTCGGCCGGGAATTTCTCCTTTCGCCGAGAGGTCCGCTGTGGCACAACGGGTCTTACGTGCGACTGTGAGGTAACGCGATGCCATCTCGCGCGCGCGCGATATCTCGGGGATATTCTTTTTTTCTTCGTCGTTCGACGGATTGACTCGTCGGTTACAACCGGTTCGGTACACGCGGATTTTTCTTCTGCTCGCGGCCGCCGCGCCGCCGACTGACGCAATTCTTTCGCCACGAACACAGCCCCGCGGGCGGATTGTATAGCCCGAGCAGTACGCACACGCCGGGCCAACCGCTTCAGGGCATCGGAACAAAGATGCATCGTGGTCCACCGTGGCGAGGCGAAACTAGGCCACGTAACCGTCCCCCCTCTCCCGCCCCGCCGCCGACCGCGGGCGGCCGGGCCTCCTCTCTGCTCGCTTGTTCCTGTCCACTAGACTCGCGTAACCACGACTTCGGAGGTAACGAAGTTGCGGGCGTCGGCTGATTCACGCCTCCGAATTCACGTCTCGCACCGATTTCCACGTTACGCCCCGGATTAGGGACGATTGTGCCGACCCAGCCTGTTCTGGGTCGCGAACACGCAGGCACGTACGCGCCCGGCAAGAACGTGCGACCAGGACCGAGCGCTGTACGAGCTTCTTATCTTCCATCCCCCCACCCCTCCACGGACCGCCGAGATACGCCGCTTCTTTTGATCATGCTCGCGTTTTTCGAAAGAACAGATCCGGAGATACGCGGATCCTCCTCGCAATAGCCGTGTGTCGTCATTCCGCAGCATTGTTCCCGGATCTTACCACGGTCTTGTGTACAACTTTGTGGTTAGCCCATTTTGTGCGTTGGAAAGTGGAGCGCGCGAGGTTCCTTCGAAATAATACGAGTTATAGGCGCAGACCTTGGTGAACCCGGTTGCAATACTTGCGACGCTAACCCAGAGACCTAACACCATCTTGTTCGTCAGAAACTAGGTTATGTCGGCGAGGTTTCTTTAACCCCTTAATGCACAGTTTTTTTGAAAAAGGCCGGCCAGAAAAGATCAATCTTTTTTTAATGTAAAAAAACACAATTTAGAACGTTGTCTTTGGCAAGAAAATTATAAAAATACAAAAATGATCAAAATTTTTATTGCAATTTTGGATTTTGATAAATTATTATTATATTTTGTTTTACATTATATTTTAGTAAAATATATATTGAAAAATGAGCGAATCAGAATATGAATATGAATACGCTGTCGGAAAGCGGCTCACAAGGAAGAGATAAGTCGTAAGTGATAAGTAGAAAAAGGATATATTGTATACTTGAATAAATAAGTGTTATTTATAGCTTACAATCCCATGTAAATGATAAATATCAATAAAACGATTGTTTTTTTATGCTTTCACATTGTTATTTTTAATTCTCGATTGCATTCGAGTGTGAAAAATTATAGCAACATAAACAACGCCGCTCGAATTATCTCGAGTGTGCACAGTTTGGCCAGTTAGCTCGAGTTAACTCGAGCGTGCACGTTAAGAGATTAAAATATTACGAATTTGTAGACAGCACATAGACATTAGATAGTCATTTGACATAACCTTGACATAACCTCGCAAACGATAGCTGCAACAGGGTTTGGATAAACGGTGGCTGCCAAGTATCGGTGAATTTGTCAAGAGGAACCTCCGTTCAGGAGCACCGATTACAAAATCTCGATTAAACTTCCGTTAATTTCTTCGTTCCCCGAGTTTGACGAACGTTCGGTAAAACGATAACGAGTTCAATGGACATCGGTAAAAGGAGGTTCGACTCTATCGGGGAAACGTCACGCGAATTCTTCGATGTCGGGACACTATCGTGTGCCCCTTTCGTTCTTATCGCGGCCGGATGAGATCGATTTGTCGGTGGAACAACCATCTTGAGGGAATGAAAATAAAGACGGCGCGGAGAGGGGGGCCTGGGGAGGCGGGAGAAAGGTAGGAAGAGTCTGCACGCAGCGAGAAATGTATTATTTTCTTGCCTCTTGCTCGTTCAGCAGTAATTGGATTATAACATTTTTTCTCACGAGACGCTTCCGCGCCGTGTGAAACCGCAACGGTATATTATTAACGTGGGCTCCCCGGTCGTTTTTCGCTAGACGGGGAATATTCAATTAGCCGGATGATTCTCCGTTGCTCGCAATTTCGATCGAACCCGCGGAGAGAGAGAGAGTCAACCGTCCCGTCCAGCAGTTTCATCACACCTGAAACTGCCGGACGGTTGAATCCGCGCCGCGATGCAACAATGACCTCATGAATAATTTAACGCGCGCCATTGTCTCATCGGTATGTACTTACTAATAACATCACGTCAGTTGTAGCGTATCTGACACTGATTCACTTCATGCATGCGCTTCTTTATTTTCTATTCGGTCATCCGTGGCCGGGGCCGCTTTTTTTTCCTTTTCGCGAGAACACAGCTGAACCCGGATGCGCCGGGATTTTTATCGATCCCGCGATAACCGTGAAACAATATGCGGCCCGTTCGTATGCGTTACAGGACACACGCAGATCGTTCGAGATCGACGGGGACTATAGTCACGGTTGCTTTGTCTCGTTGCATTCGGAGAAACTGACTTCTGTAGCTAAATGCCGCGACGTCGAATGTACCGTTCGGCTTGGAAGAGGATCGAGATAAAAAGCGAGGATAAACAACGGATCGATCCTGTATCTCTGCGCGATTAAATAATTTAACGTACTTCCGTTTCGTTCCGAGAAATTAGCACCGGTCGAGCTTGTGTAATCTACGATTATAGATCTCTCGCGGTTCGAGAAAAAAAACGTGCACCGTCTCCCGGATCGCGTGACTCCCGCAATAATTTATTTAACGCCGCGAAGATATCGCTAATTGACGAAATATGTTGCCAATCGAGAGAGAGAGAACGATAAAGCGGTAATCATATATTGCCTGCATTGCTTTGGCATCGTTTGCGTCCCGTTCCGCTTCTCTCCCACGCTGCAGAGGTCCCCTTGTTTCTCGATTCAAACTTGAACCCAGTGACCTTCGGCATCCACGGCCAAAGAACCGATTCCCGATCGACCGCGACTCGATCTCCGGCACTACACTTTTATCCTCACCGTTCGAACACCACTATGTTACTAACAATGTCCGCGAATAATCGCGTCGGGACGTATCTGCGCGTTCTAGAGCGTCTCTTGAACTGAATTTCTGACTAAGGCCCTGACTCTTTATGCCCACCTGGCTCCGGCAGGTGTTGCAGGTGGCACCACCTCTCGGCTGTCGGCAGGTCTTTCTCTTTTTAAGTCCCTTCCGCGCTCCACGCGCGCGCTATAATCTGGGACTCATTTGCCGGGGAACTTTGCTCGCATCCGTGATGTGCGAATTCAAATTTCCAAGAAATTTAAATACGGATTTAGCGTTGAAGCTGCCGTGGCAAATTTATGCACGATGTTGCCGAACTTATTGAATGCCGTAGATCAGGGGTGTCAAACTCAAAAGCTAACTTGGGCCAAATAAACAATGCTTAACTTTAGGTGGGCCGCAAAAAAAAAATCAATGTTCATAGAAACAAATGTTTTTATTTTGGCTAGTACATTGTAATGAACATATATAAAGTTAAATTATTGTTTACGTCCTGATACTTGACATCTCTTCTCTGATACTATCTTTCCTATTTCGGGAGAAATTTTATTGGCCGTGACTACTTTCAAAATTTCTAATTCACATTTCTATTTTATTTTTACTTTGAGGTCGGATATATTGACTGGGCCGCAAAAATGTTCATCTCGGGCCGCGAATTTGACACCCCTGCTGTAAATGAATTTCGAATATTGACGGAAAAGTACATTTTTCTTTAGGATGGTACATAAAATTCAAATTTCAGATTGTGTAAATTGTTACACGGTCGTTTTTGTTTAGAAAGTGTTATTAACGTAACCTCTTTCTATGCTTGAAAACAGATTTTTTTAAAATCTTAACATAAGACCTAAACAATTAAAAATGGGTTTTAGTCAGTTCCCGTTAAGAATATTTGAATTAAATTTTGTGTACAAAAAAATGATTAAAGATTTTTATTCTTTTGATAATTTTGTTAATTATTAAGGATTAAAATATTAAAATATTTATTTCTAAAGTCAATGACAATTGTACAAGAATAGAGACAAATAAAAAATTTATTCGGAATTTATTTACAAATTATGTACAGAATTGTTTAGTAATTAGCTAAAAATCGTTTCTCAGCTTCGCTAGACCTAACTAGTATTAGAAATGCTGGAGTTCCTCCACGTACGATAAATCTGAAAATGATTTTTTTCAATATAAGGTTGAAGACACTTAATCCCTACTTTTTGAATGTTTAAACATTTACACTTACCGTTCATTTTGTAATATTTTTCCCAAAGGATGATGAGTGTTTACTTTATGTACAGAACATTTATCTTTTCCTTCGAAATAAACATTTATGTTTTGAAGGGTATAACGTTTTTCTGTATCCCACTCTGGTGGCTCACTAAATAGTTGCTCTAATTGTTCTATTAGCCTGGGGAGAACAGTTAATTTAGAAATATTTGTTTAAATTTTATGTACTTAAAAACTCTAAGAAACAATAAAAATGTTAACATACAATGTCTCTTCGTGAAAATTTTGTATGAAATCTGTTTGATGCGTCTCTGGATACAGTATCATTACTGGCCAAACAAGTTTATTTTCTGCGTCCAAATGAACTCTGCTCTGAGCAATTTGTGGAATTTGAGGCTCTAAATCTTTTAGATCTGGTTTCTTCCGCTGATCGACCAATTCCAAGTTTATGCCTTTATTCTTGATTATATTAATTAATTCCTCTTCTTCTTTATCTAATTTCTTTTCTAATCTTTCTTGTTTTCTTTTATCTCTTTTTAAGCATTCCTATAGATACCAAATACAATGTTCCTTAAAGTTTATATTTCCTAAACGCTTTCATATACTTTACTACATAAATCTATCCGTACCCTTGCAGTAACTGCTTCCGCTTTCAAACTCAACATTTTTTTGTCAGTTGGAGAATGATCAAGAAATTGGTCACACAGTTGAATACATTGGTCGTAGTCTTTAACATGAAAACAACATGTAGCAGCCCTATTCAGTACCTTTGGATAATTTGGTTTCAACTTTAAAGCATGTTTTGAGTCATTCAGGCTCGACCTGTAATTTTAATCTCATTATAATCAATTTAAAGAAGTATTCAATTTGATAATACAACGTGACCAATTATATGCGTGTACCGATAATTCTTCAACATAAAATGCGAAGCAGCTCTATTATTATAGAGTTGAGCCATTAAGTCATTATCTTTACATTTAGTCCTTATACCCTCGGTGTAGCTTAATATAGCTAATCGATATTTCTTATATTTATAATTGAAATTTCCATCCTCTTTATAATTGTTCGCTAATTCTAGAAAAAAAAGTAAGAGGTACTGTCTACTCTAGTCTACTCTAAACATATAACTGTTCGAACAGCGATGAATAAGTAAACGATAATCAATTCATTCGTACCCTCTGGTGTATTTTCATCTTCGCCATACTTCAGCTGTTGTAACCCTTCCATTAAAGGTGAGAGCTCATCGCCAGGTTTTGGTGATTCTTTCATGAAGAAGGGATGTTTCTCCATTTCTTCTTCCCACCGGTCTTCTGGCCATCCTTCTGTATAACTTTTCTTCTCCAAATTACTTATATACTCATCTAATTCGGCATCCAATTTTGCAGCCAGTTCTAATCGCTCCTCGTCGGTCCAAGTTTTTCGTCCTTTCTCGTTTTTCTCTTCCATTGTCACACGATTTTCTAATCTCAATCGACGTTGCACCACTTTAAAAACTATATAATATTTAAAGGGACAGTATTAAATGTAACTCGTCTTACATACCATAACCTCAAAAGTTTCACGTGAAACAAAACACGCGTTCTTTTCTTTACCGGCAGAGTATATTTCTGTCATCATCCTAGCGATGGCGTTATTTGTATTGTCGTAAAGAACTTCAAATGATTATTGCATTTATTAAATAAATTATTAACAATTCTCTCGAAACAATGTTACCGCTTAATCTCAATATCAAAAAGCATCTAACTACGAGATATGGTTAGAAAGTTCATTCAAAAATAATAAATATATTCGTGATATCCCTCGCAACAACAAATCATAAATTTTTCCAAAATAACAACTAATTTCGTGTAAATTCAAAATCCGTGAATGTAATAATTTAAAAAAACAAACCCAAAACGTAAGTTAACGCCGAATTAATTACAAACGGAATATATTCGAAAATTTTGCTATACAATATATCGCGATACAATTATTAACAATTCAAATCCGCTGTTTTCATCTGCAAAAAAATATAAAACAGTATTGGAACAGTAAAAATTGACCGTTCAACAGGAAATATCTAATTCCGAATTAGTCCGTACGTGGTGGAAAAAAAAATAGGGTACGGGGGTAATCCTACAATAAAATCTGTATTGAAACTTAGGGATGAGAAAAGCCAGAGGAGGATACGTCGATCGGGTAGGGGTGGCTAAGGTTCGGACGTTTACGCAAACATTCGGGTTTTGGCCCCTTTGTGCGTCGGCTAGGCAAGATGGCGCTCGGTGAAAGCTGGTCCACGATTGGTCGATGAGACCGCACCGCGAATCTCCCGAGAACAGTCGCTTCCACGGCCTCGTAGCGGGCGAGTTGCTGGTCCCCTTGGAAAAAAGGAAAACACGCTCTCTCGTCGCGGCGACGAGTGTAATGGCTACCGTGGGCCTAGGATAACGGTGGAGGCGGTATTCGGGTTGTTTGATCGAGACGATTCAGAATTACGGGACGTTTTATCGGCCGGCTACGATCAGTGAAAAAATTTAGATTCGCGCGTGTTGAACTGCCGCTCCGCCGTCGAAAGGAATCGTGGCTTCTATAACCCTCGCAAGGCGAGGAAGAGTGCGTGTACATCAACTAGTGCATCAGTGTACTTAAATGTGTGCCACAACAGCCATTGTCGAGTAGCGTGTATCGTACGTAGTGTGCCGGTCAACGGAACGTCGTCTACTCTGGATATAACTGGTTGTTCGTCTTACCTTTTTGGATTCTACCCCTCTTGATTAACGAACACGTCGATCGGTGAGTACGCTCGGACCTATTCGTATTATATGTTCAGTGAACACTGTCGTTTCGTACAGCTGTGCTTTACAAAACTGCGCGATTGTGTACATTTGTGGTCGCTCCTTCTCCGTTAACCGAGATTATCTATCGATGCCACTACGTCTGTATCGCTAGACGCACCCTCGACACTTTGCCCGTGCGGAAAAAAAGAAACAACGTTCGCGAGCGTTGTCATCGTGCGCCGACACGCGACTCTATTTCCTTTTTTCAAATTCTTACGAGCTGCACGATAGGTGTCAGTGATGGCTCTCTCCGCTCTCGGCGAGCTTTCCGCCACATGTACAACCTATCCCATGAGGGAAAAGTCCATTTATTGTCATATGCAGCTAGTAATGAGAGTATGCGCGTTGCGAAGCACGATCAATTTCGGAAGATCTACCAGCACGCTGCAAAAGATGTCGCGCTACCCTCTCCCCGTGTGCTGGGTTTATATTGTTGCTAAATGCGTTCTCTCGAGAGTGCTCGTCGATTCGCGTCCGTGCGATCCGCTCGCCCAATTTTTTTCGCCGCCGGTGCGTTTCGAGCGCGTCACGCGGCGTTACCGAGCGTATGATAAATTACCGTCTCCATGGAGACCGAAGCCGCGTTTCTCCGGCCACTTAATTCGTCTTCTTGTACACGTTGCGCTCCCCCCCTCTCTCTCTCTTCGTATCCTTATTATCTTCGATTCGAGCGTGACAGCCCGTCGAACGCTTGTCAGCTTACGTTTCGTCGAATCGGCGTGTCTCTCGCGGCGTTTTTAACGAGCCGGAGCGTCGCTTATCCTTACCGTGTGGATATGGGCGTGTATTCTTTACGAGCTATTCTACTCTCTATCTCTTGGGTTTATGAAAAATTTAACGTCGTGCGAATATTAACGTACGATGAACAAATTCATCCGCGACGGGGTAACAGGTGTCAACGGAATTTTTATCGCGGGTTAAGCGTTCTTGTTGTTTCGCCGCGACGTTCGAAAGTTTTTCCCGTCGCTGAACTTCTCATCCGTCGTGACGGAAACGAAACGCGGTTTCCACGCGGTTAATGAATATTTTTTAGCGCGCGAACGGGAAAAGGGATTTATCGCCCGGTATCGAGGGTTATAAATGCGTGTAACATTCGAGGGTTAATCGCGTTGTAAACATCTGTTGTTTTAAAGCCCGGATCGGCCGCCATATGTGGGCCGCTATTCGCTAAATGTTTATTACTAAGCGAGCCAGTTCCCGAACGGGGAAAATATAACGGGATAATCATTGCGCCCGCCGCGATCTGATTCCGTGCGCGATGTTTTCCTGTAATGTGCTCTGCTACACTCTCATAACGGGCCGAAAGTAGACCGTTCGCACGTGTTGCTGACAAAACGTGGATCTTCGCTATCCGCTGTTAACGTTTTAAACGTCCGGCTTTATTGCGTCCATTATCATGCTGATAAATACGGTATCCTGCTATTTTCAATGTTCAATTTCAGTCGCGCGATTAATTTGCAGCTTCTTCGAATCCCATTGGCTGCCGAATAACCGTGATAATTAATTTACCACGATGTTTTTGTAAACCTCGCGATACACCATTGGCAAAAACCGTACTAATTCAGGAACCACGTACTCGTAGTTCGCGCGCGGTAACAGAATAATGGATGCGAACTTTATGATTCGGTTTGAATAAAGGGTATTAATTCATAAATTATAATATTATATAAATAATAAATCATATATATAAATAAATAATATTAATATATAATATATAATAATAATATATATATAATTAACCCCTTAACACACAGTTTTTTTTAAAAAAACCGGCCAATAAAATCAATTCTTTAATGTAAAAGAACACAATTTAGGACATTGTCTTGGCAAAAAAATTAAAAGAATACAAAAATAATCAAAATTNCCTGCTATTTTCAATGTTCAATTTCAGTCGCGCGATTAATTTGCAGCTTCTTCGAATCCCATTGGCTGCCGAATAACCGTGATAATTAATTTACCACGATGTTTTTGTAAACCTCGCGATACACCATTGGCAAAAACCGTACTAATTCAGGAACCACGTACTCGTAGTTCGCGCGCGGTAACAGAATAATGGATGCGAACTTTATGATTCGGTTTGAATAAAGGGTATTAATTCATAAATTATAATATTATATAAATAATAAATCATATATATAAATAAATAATATTAATATATAATATATAATAATAATATATATATAATTAACCCCTTAACACACAGTTTTTTTTAAAAAAACCGGCCAATAAAATCAATTCTTTAATGTAAAAGAACACAATTTAGGACATTGTCTTGGCAAAAAAATTAAAAGAATACAAAAATAATCAAAATTTTTATTTTTATTTTGGATTTTGATCCACATTGCAGAAAAGAGCCGAATATTGCAACGTTACACATACATCGACTTTTTTATCTTCCTTTTCGAATTGCTATTTCGGAAAAAACATATTTTTATCAATAAAAATACTTATTTATACTTTTACAACATAAATAATAGCCGTTGATTGGGGAAGTAGATAAGCAATATTCTTGAATAAATAAGTGTTATTTATAGCTTACAATCCCATGTAAATGATAAATATCAATAAAACGATATTTTTTTCTTTGCTTTCACATTGTTATTTTCAATTCTCGATTATATTCGAGCGTGAAAAGTTATAGCAGCATAAAATACAACGCCGCTCGAATTATCTCGAGTGTGCAAGTTAAGGGGTTAATAATAATATATATTATTATTATTATTATTAATATATAATATATATATTATTATTATTATTAATATATAATATATATATTATTATTATTTATATAAATAATATTACATAAATATAAATTATAAATCATGCTCGCAAAAGAACGTAATACATTTGCACATTTTGCTAGCAGCGATATAGTTATTATCCTATCTATTTGTTCGTGTATTCGGAACACTGGATAGCCCTGTAAAGCGGCTATGTACCTCTTTTTCTTCTTCCGGGCGGGGCCGTAAAGTTTGCAATTCGATTACGTAGCAATTAACCGGCCGCATGCAACAATCGTTAACTGAAATTCCGGTTGCGTGCCACGAGCTCTCGCGGGCAGGCCCCGTTTTGTCAGAATGCTAAGGGATAATTCCCACTTTCTGCCAGCAGCACCTCTCTGTCAATTCACACTACTCAACTTACTGTGGGAGAATTTTTTTGTCTGCTCGTAATCCCGGCGCAGCCTCGAATTGAAAAGGTAGAGAGAGCCGCTAGTCGAATTACACGAGTGTTCCCAGCAAATGGTCTAGGTTAAAATCCCATTTAGAGCGGAAACTGCTGAATATACATACAAGTGGGATGCCGTTAAATGCTCGCCTAGTCGTTCAAGGTCACCTGTAAAAATACGGCCCTCGCCATTCTGTTAACATAACAATCGCACGAAAGTCTACCTCGCGTCGTTGCCGTTCCTTTGTCTCGCTAATAATATATTTATGAAAAAATGCTTCTGCGTCGACGGAAGTGCTGCTTGTCGTGGTGCAAAGTACAGATTCGTAAATCTCGTTTGTTTTTTTTCTTTTTTAATAATTTCGTCGTATATTCTTTAGATAGTTCTTACAGAATTTATTCAAAGTTTATTTAGTTATTAAAATATTAAAATATATTAATAGATATATATTAATAGATATTTATTAATATATATATAATATATTAATAGATATTAATAGATATTAAAATATCGCCTTTGGCATTCGTCGCACAGTGGGGAAAAATGGCCAGGTTCGCATCAAAATTGCAGAATTTTTACAGATGTGAGATAAGAAAGATGACCTTATTTTTACATGTTGAATGTTAAAATGTTCTAGAATAAGGGAAAATTATAGAGAATATCGCACGAACAGTTTTTGAAAAATGACAATTTTATGACTTTTATTAACCAATATTTTATCGCGAAATATCATATTTAATATAAATTGTCAGTATCGAAAGTTGTTTATGCGACATTCTCTATAATAAAAAAATTTTAATTTACATTATAGATTTTATATTTTATAATTCCCTATAATTTTCTCTTATATATTTTCTCTATAATTTTCTCCCTTTGCACTCGAACAGTGACCCTGAGGCACCATTAAAATTGTTACATCATGTTCCAAGATAATTTTTATATCATAAAAGTTTAGCTGTAGACAATTATTAAAAGTCTAATTGTTGTACGAGTCACAAGACTAAATTTCACACGCATAAAATGCACTTTGCCATATAAAATGGAAATACCATAAGTCAGAAAAATTGATTTAGATTTACACTTAAAATGGCTTCGAGTGCAAAGGGTTAAATTATTAAATCTAATAATTATTAAACAGATCATCTCTCTATCATTTTTGCAAAAAGCTTCTACGATTTCGACGCGGTCCGGGTAATTTTCGCTGCGCGTCGACGCGGACTCGGTATCATTACATAAAATCGTTTCGATAACTGCTCGACGGTCGCCGGAGGAACGGTCACTTAGCGGGCGTGGGTCGCGGCATTATTTTCCGATCGCGGTGGTACACGAGTCTAAAATAAATATTGGCCGAAAAGCTGGTAATGAAAAGACCAGCGGTTATCGATCGGTGTGTACGAAGCACTTTGTTCAGGGTGACGAAACGAGCTGGAGATGACGGTCCCGACTATATTTGACGATCCTCTCGTAAAATTCTCCTGACGTTGATTGCATGTACTCTCCGCCGGCGTGAATCGTTCCAGGCCGTAGCTAGGGGCGCTCTTTCAAAAAAGCTTCTATCGCGTGCTTTCGGCGGTGCTCTTTATTAATCCGCCGTGATTCATGTACATGGCCCCGATTAAAAAGGCAGCCCAGAGACGCGCTTACCGGACACGGGGAAATAAGTAGCGCCGAGGATTATTCGACCGTTAAGTTGCGGATTGCGTTCTCCCTTGAAGTTTTAATCTAAAATACTGATTAGCCGGTTTCGCAGTCGCCCCCCTCCCCTCCCGAAGCCCTCTCTTCATTCGGTATACCATAAATATCATTAAGAAGGCTACATGAATTTTTCATCCGCGCCCAGATATTATTCATTGGCTGCGCGCCGTCGTCGCGCCACCCCCTACCCCCACCCCCCGGTGGAAAATGCCCCTCCCTCCCGACGGAAAAATTTTCTTCGCTGTTGACAAATAAATTGGTGCCGCGTCCGCAGCGGGAAATCTGCTCGGATATTTCGGCCAGTATTTCGACGGCGAACGAAAGGGAAAATCGGTATGCGAGCG